CCCCAAAACCCCAAAACCCCAAAACCCCATTTATGTACGCAGCAGTAGAAAGTATATTAATAAATGAACCAATCATGCAACGTAACACAAAATCTAAACCAACACAATGACCCAGTTAAGCAGAGGTGACAAAGCAAGCCCAAGACACCTGGAGAGAGATCTAGAGAGTTTCGTAAAAGAAAGAAAAACTATGTACGACTTTCTTAGTATCAGGATCTTTGCGTGCATTATTAATCATGACTGTGTTAGTTTAAATCTATTTTTAGACTAGCTTTTTATTTGCAGCATATATTTTCATAGGAATTAACAATATTTCATCACTCAAACTCTCTGCCAGCTTTTAATCATTTTTTATCGCATTGTTGATATGTTAGCTGAAAAGGTGTGTATCTTGGGTTATCATACGTGTAGCTCACGAGACTTGAAACAAAAGTTAAAACATTAGAGCATGAAATTTCATGTCTTACACAAGAAAATACTGAGCTTCAAGAGACTATTACTAATATGAGAGCAAAACTGTCGACTGCCGAGAAAAAGTCTTCTTCTACTCAGCCACATAAGTCTACTATCAACAAGTACTCTCATCCTCTTCATGAGTATGAAGACTTCATGGACAACCAGATGAAGAAGATAATGATCCGAGATCCTTCAGAAATAAGATACTCTACAATGCTACAAATGAAGAACCAATCTGCAGATTATTCGTAAACACCTTATAAGAGCAATCTAACTTTTCTGATAGAGATAACAGAAGAAATTTCCTCAAGCAAAAGTTTGATGGTAAGCTCCCCTCGATTAGATTAAGATATCCTCCAAAACATTGCATGTATCAACACGAAGTGCTTCATGGCTGGATCGAAGAATGTCAATAGGGCTGAGTTCCTGAGAAGAAACTGTACCAAAAAGAGAAGAGAGAAATACATCAATGCAAGTGGTCAATATTTATTTTTAGAAAGAAAAATCTGAGAACAAGGAAGTCTATTTTGACACTTTCTTACATACTAATATTGCCAAGTTCATTGAGCAGAAAGGAGAAGGACTTAAAAAGAATCTAGCTGGCATTGGGAGGACGTAAGCTTTCTTGATCAAGTTTAGTGCAAGGAAACTAGTCAGGATCAGGAACGATCTCTTCAATATCTATAAAGAGCAAGAAAATATGATGGAGGGTAACTTTTACTTCCTAAATTCACTTTAATCTTTAATAATGCGTTGCGCTACATACATTTATATCATTTTGGTTTAAATTTGTCTAACTTTACTGATAGGATTTGATGATTACCAAAAAGAAGATATGGTAATTTACTACAAGTTTGTGGAAAAAGTCAAGAGTAAGGTATCTCTGACACCTCATTTCTTATGGGATATCCCAGTCAAATCCCACTCTAACGAGCAATATGATGCAGGAGAGCTCACTGAATAATATTCTTTGTTCAATCTAGATTTCATTTCTAGGGGTTTTGGGGTTTTGGGGTTTTGGGGTTTTGGGG